CATTATTACCATCGCATGCGATATCTATGAGGCGCGCACGAATAATTGGATAGAAACAGCTAGTTCATCCCCGCCTGGGAAGCACGAAGAGAAAGAATCAGCAGCCTTTCGTCGTTGACGTCGCCACATTTCCGCGAGAGTCCCGTCGCGGACAAAACTGTTTCCCCGGTTGCGTACCAAGACCAGCAGATTTCGCATCCGAGGCACGGCAAGGCGTCATCTGCCTGGTAGGCGCCCCAAATTTTTGAAATATGGGGGGGCCCGTGCGTGTTCATGTGTTTTTGTGTGCGTGGGTGTGCATGTGGTTAAGTGTGTGGACGTAGGGCGGGGTGTGGGTATCACTGTGTGAGGGGGGGGGGGGGGGGGGGGTGTGTGTGTGTGCGTGTGCGTGTGTGCGTGTGCGTGTGTGCGTGTGGGGGGTGTGTGCGTGACACCTTGCACATGCGCCCACGTGCTTCAACCCATCTTGTCCTCATTCATTCCTCCTCATCATGACTGTTTACCAATGCTCCCCGTACTGTTTTCTGCCTGCAGGCATGGAACAGCAACGCGCGGGATCGTTACTACATCCTCCGCCCAGAGACGGTCGAGGCATACTTTGTCATGTGGCGGTACGCTGATGACATGATGATGATGATGATGATGATGGTGATGCTGCTGCGCATGTGTTGATTGGGCGTGTAAGGGTTCAACCGCCATTCGCCACACACACACACACACACATTCACGTTTACATTCACGAACACACACACACACACACACACACACACATTCACATTCACATTCACATTCACATTCACATTCACACATTCACATTCACATGTTGTAACACAACAACACGTCACGTGCACACGCCTACCCCGTCATCCTGCCCGCTGCTGCGTTAATCAGGCTGACGCACGACCCCAAGTACCGGGAGTGGGCGTGGGAGGCGGTTGAGGCGCTGGAGAAGAACTGCCGCTGCGGCGTCGGCTACTGCGGTCTTCGTGACGTCGGGCGCATGCCCCCGTCACAGGACGACGTGCAGCAGGTGCGAGGGGTGCTTCACGGATGTGTGTGTGTGTGTGTGTGTGTGTGTGTGTGTGTGTGTGTGTGTGTGTGTGTGTGTGTGTGTGTGTGTGTGTGTGTGTGTGTGTGTGTGTGTGTGTGTGTGTGTGTGTTGGTCAGAAGGGGCGTTGGTGACTGCTTTCATATGCGACGCCTCCCTCAACTCACGACATTCTCCCCCCTCCCCCACATATACACACACATCACATTACCACCACCACTGCAGAGCTTCTTCCTGGCTGAGACGCTCAAGTATCTCTATCTCATCTTCTGCGAGGACGACGTGATATCACTCGACGACTGGGTCTTCAACACAGAGGCGCACCCGGTTCCCGTCCAGCACTGAAGGTGCGCGTATTTTGCTGTTGTTTGCGTGTGTTTCGATTTGTGTGTATGTGTGCGCGCGTGTGTATGCGTGTGTATGCGTGTGTTTGTGTGTTTACTTCAGCGTGATAGACGCAGCACAGGTTGTATTTAACATCGAGCGTTGCTTGTGCGCGT